CATATAATCCTTAAATGAATATAGGGTCAAGATTAAAAGCAGGAAGAGAAAGAGGGGCATAAGGAATTGTCAGAGGAGAGATAATCCGGATAGGTAAGGTAAAACCTGCCAATGGAGGATTAGGAATTCCAGGGTGGGAATTTCAGAATTGATCCATTCACAACCAGTAGATGAATATTTGTAGATGCTGCTAGAATAAAGTAGTCTTCAAACACAGGATCTGGCTTTGTGCTCAGAGAACCAAGGATGTAGCAAGAATGAACATAACGTGTTGAAGGGAATCTCAGCAGGGCCCTAAAAGGATGAAGAAGAATTAGCAATAAGGAGAGAAAAACAATGAGCATTGTTATACACAGGGCACCTTTGTAATTATGACATGAATAAACTAAGGTTTTGGAAAGACCAGTCTAATAAGGAGTTGAAAATTGTTTGTGGTATAGGAAAGCTTTTTTTGGAGTTTCTGAAGCAATTTCTTAGGTACCCAAGATGAAAGTAATATTCCATCAGTCTTTTCTTCAGAATTATTTTGTGATTTATTTCCAAAATTATTATACAAGTGCCTTTTACAGTTTTAGTATCCTCAATCCGTTGTGAGTTTTCAAGGCTTAAAATAATAGAACTGTAGCAGTGGATGAAATACTAAAAGTTACCACATCTTTAACCCAGCTCCACCCCCTCTCTAGATAAAGAAAACAAGACTTCTTGAAGTAAACTAAATTAGACATAGTACCATAATTAGAACTCACATCTGCTAATTTCTACACATGGGGACTTTCTATAACTATTGTATTGCCCTCATTTTACTTGATGCCGTCTTTGAGTGTTTCTGTTGAAGATTTTTTTGAATTTATGTACTTTTTATGTTTTACTTTGTATAACTCCATATTCTTTTTTAAGTATCAGTAACACTTTTAAGAAAAAAAGGTGATTTTTTGAAAAAGAGTCTTATAGGGACACCTGGGTGGCTCAGTTAAGCTGCTGCCTTCAGCTCAGGTCATGATCCCAGGGTCTTGGGATCAAGTCCCGCATCGGGCGCCTTGCTAGGCAGGGAGCCTGCTTCTCTCTCCGCCTCTGCCTGCCACTTGGCCTGCTTGTGTGTGTGTACGCGTGCGCACGCTCTCTGACAAATAAATAAAATCTTTTTTTTTTAAGAGTCCTATAAAATCCATTTTAACTCATATGTCCTTTGAGAATTTTTAATATATGAAATATTAATACATAGATAAGAGTATATGTACTATGTAAGTTATAAAGCCTGATAATAAAATGAACACTTATGAATCCACCACCCAGCTTAAGAAATGGAACATGATCAATTCCCATGACTCTGCCTGTGTGTGCTCCTTGCCTGTGACCTTTCTGTCATCCACCAGCCTACAATGCCATTTTCTGTGCTACCACATTTCTAGACTTTTTATAAATACTAGTTCTCTAGTTAAGAAACTATCTTCTCTTGAATGGAATTCAAGTTTGTTACATGTAGTTTCATAAATGGCTGTTAAATTTTGTCAAATGCTTTTTTTATGCATCTGTTGAGATTTTTCTCCTTTAATCTGTTAATATGATAAATTGGATTAATAGAATTCCTAGCACAAAGTGACCTTTGCATTTATAGGATAACCTCAACTTTTCAAATGATTTTTATTGTTTTTATACTGCCAAATTCCATTTGCTAATATAATTTTTAGGATTTTGATTTTTGCCCCTATATTCATCAGTGAAGTTGCCTAGCAGTTTTTCTTTTTCTGTCCTTATTTCTTAATCAGATTTACTGCCTTACAGAATGAGTCAGGAAGTGTTTCTTTTTTCTAGAATAATTTCTTCAGGATGGTAAGTGCTTGATAGAACTCAACTGTAAAATCCTCTGAGGTTGGTGTTTTCTCTAATGTATAGAAACTTCAGTGATTTATATATTTTTTAGAATTTCTCTATTTCACTTTTTTTAATTTTTTGTTTTATTTTTAATTTACTAACCACCAATTTATAGTATTCTCTCATTCTTATTTTGTTATTTTTGAAGGGAGGCTGATGACTTTGTTCTTTTTCCAATTTTATAAGTTAAATCTCTAAGCTTATAAACTGTCATTGCTTCTAACTTTTTTCATCTAAATATTTGGAATTAAGTATTTTTCTCCAAGTGCCTCTGTAGTTGCGTCCCACAGGTTTTACTGTGTTTCATGGTAAAAATCAGTTCAAATACATTCTCATTTCCACGTTGCTTTCTTTGAACAGTTAGTTATTTAAAAGTGTTTTTAAATGTCCAAATATATGAGATTTTTAAGGTTAACTTTGAGTCAGTACAAAAATAAATTTTTTTTTAACTTTTTTTGAGATTTGTCTTATGGCTAGTACATGATCAGTTTTCATAAATGTTCCATGGTGCTTAAAAAGAATGCATATTCTCCAGTTTTTAGGTATAGGATTCATTGATATGTTTAGATTAAGCTTTCTTCTTAATGCAGTTCAGGTTTTACTGGTGTTGTATCTTATTTTTTGGTCTGGTTTTATAAATCATTTACCAAGGAGTTTTAAAATACTGCACTATAGTGGTGATTATGTCCCTTTCTCCTTGCATTTTTATTGCTGTATCTGTTTGGAAGCTATGTATAGATATAGCATATCTTATAATAGGTAGAGCATTATAAATTTTGAATTGTTGTTACATAATGAATTGACTCACTAATCATGTTATCTCTTTCTCTAGTAATTTTTTTTAATCCTAAAATGTATTCTTTCTCATATTAATATAGCTACATAACTTTATTTTGGGTAGGTTTGCCTGTCTTTTTTCATCCTTTAACTTCCTGGTTTCTCTACCCTGTGAATTAGAGCTGTCTCTTATAAAGAGCATTTAATCCAACCTTACAGTCTGATTTTTTAAATATCTTAACTCAAGAAATTAATCCATTTATATTATGGTTACTGATTGATTTGTTCCTTTTTATCTTGTGCTTTCTCTTATTTCCCTTTTTGCTCCTTTTTTTGCCTTCCTTTGAATTGAACAAATATATTTCTCATCCCATTAATTGTCTTTCTAAATTGGGGATATCATATACTACTACTTCTAGTAACTACCTGTGAAATTTTAACACTCATACTCAACCTAAAGTTAGTATCTTTACCTCATCTTCAACAATATAAGGATTTTTAAATCAGTCTCTTGCTTATGCTATTTTTTTTATTTTTTTTATTTTATTTTTTTATTATAGATTTTATTTATTATAGATTTTATTTATTTATTTGACAGAGACCACAAGTAGGCAGAGAGGCAGAGAGAGAGGGGGAAGCAGGTTCCCCGCTGAGCAGAGAGCCCTATGCTGGGCTTGATCCCAGGACCCTGAGATCATGACCTGAGCCGAAGGCAGAGGCTTAACCCACTGAGCCACCCAGGCGCCCCTTGCTTATACTGTTTTTATTCAAGTTTTATTACTGTCTTATTATCTGTTTGCTTGGTAATTTTGAAGATTAGTCATGTTCCCATTGTTTAATATTTTATGTGCATAGAATCTCCTTATGTTTACCAGTATTCCTGATTGCAACTTGGTCCTTCAATCAGGGAAAACTTTTTCTTAACCCTAAACTACGTGCTTTAGAAATTGTTATAAGAGCTTATGGATGAAAAAAAATTTAAAAATTTAAAAAATTTTTTAAAAAGAGCTTATGGATGGTAGAGTCTATTTTTGTCTAAGAATGTTATTTTGACCTCATTCTTTTTTTTTTTTAATATTTTATTTATTTATTTGACAGACAGAGATCACAAGTAGGCAGAGAGAGAGGAGGAAGCAGGCTCCCCGCTGAGCAGAGAGCCCGATGCGGGGCCTGATCCCAGGACCCCGGGATCACCACCCGAGCCGAAGGCAGAGGCCTTAACCCACTGAGCCACCCAGGCGCCCCTTGACCTCATTCTTTATGTTTTTGTTGGCCAAACAATTCTAAGATAGTTATTTTCTTTTAGCAGCTTAAAGATACTCCACTTTCTTCTGGCTTCCTTTTTGCTATTAAGAATCTAACTGGAGGGGCACCTGAGTGGCTCAGTGGGTTAAAGCCTCTGCCTTCAGCTCAGGTCATGATCCTGGAGTCCTGGGATCGAGCTCCGCATCGGGCTCTCTGCTCAGCAGGGAGCCTGCTTCCTCCTCTCTGCCTTCCTCTCTGCCTACTTGTGATCTCTGTCAAATAAATAAATAAAATCTTTAAAAAAAAAAAAAAGAATCTAACTGGATGGTTTTGGGAATAATCTGTCTTTAGCTACTTTCTGCTATCTTCTATTTTCTTTGTTCTCTAGAATTGACTATAATATGACATATGTTTAATTCATTATTGTAGTTCTGTTATTTTTTTCTGCTTTGGATTGATTGTGGTTGGGATTTGTTGTATCGTCCAGCAGTTATGTAAATATTTTATGAATTCACAGTGGATACATTTCTCCCCTCCACCCAGAGCCACTCCCAACACAGACAAATTTATTTGCTCTCTGCTTTTGTAGGGTAGATCTTTATTCCTAGTTCACTCTTTCCCCAAGACTGAAGTCTTTCTTGGGTTTTAGCTTTAAGCACAGAGTTCTCCAGTCTTATTCCCATCCTACAAAGGCCTAAGACTTAATGCCTATTCCTTTGAGTGCAGAACACAGTCAAAACAAAAGTTTTAGGTCATTGGTGTTCATTTGAAATTCCCAGGGCTCACAGTTTAAGCACTTACTGGACTCCTGATCCTGCTTTATTTCTGGTCTCAGAGCATTTCTCTTACTTTCTTGAAAGCTCATCAGTTTTTAAGAGGTATTATGCATGAGTGCATAAATTTTTTGTTTGTGTGTATACATATGTACAGACGTATGTGTGTGTGTATAAAATCTTAGAGGATTTATTTATTTTTTTCCAAGAATATTTCAGGACCTCTAGTGATAGAAATGGAAGGCTGTCCTTTGCTTTATAATAAAAATTTTCTCTTATCTTTTTTTTCACATAAAAATCACATTTTGTTCCTCCTATCATTTCTTCCTGTAGGTAAGCAGTAGGTCATCCAGTCCTAGCGTCAGAATGATCACTACCTCAGGACCAACCTCAGAAAAGCCAACTCGAAGTCATGCATGGACTCCTGATGATTCCACAGGTGACCAGTGTATTTCCTCACTATAATTAAGAAGTTGAATTTGTCATATTTATTTCCATTTATTTGTGTCATGACACTGATCTTTATAAAGGCAGGCATTTCAGAGTAGATTTTCATATTAATAAAATCAAATATTTAGCAATAAACTTAAAGATGAGTTTTTGAGTTCTGAGATAGATTGTCTTGCCTTCTGCATTCCCCCCCCAGATACTAACCATCTATATTAAAGATGATTTTGTTCCTCTACAGAGGAGGATACTGTATTCTTGATTCTTAAGTCTCTGATTTTCCTATTTTTGATCCATCCTACAGATGATAGTAGTAAAGTCCATTATCATTTAAATAACTAAAATCAGTAGGAGAATAAAAATAATCATCTTAGTCTCAGTCTTTTGTCTTAAAGACACGAGATACCATGTACTTCAGTAAGAAAAAAAATTCTGACCATTAATGTTACATAAATTTCTGTTAATTAGACCTTAAAAAGCCTGTTAAATTAAAACTCCCTAGTGGCACCTAGGTGGCTCAGTGGGTTAAGCCTCTGCCTTTGGCTCAGGTCAGGATCTCAGGGTCCTGGGATTGAGCCCTACATTGGGCTCTCTGCTTCCCCCTTGTCTCTGCCTGCCTACCTGTGATCTCTTTCTCTCTCTGTGTCAAATAAATAAATAAAATCTTTTAAAAATAGTAATAATAATACTAAAATTCCCTAACATGAATGACTAACTGGTCAAAATACTAGTATTAAAATCTAATGATGGAATAGTTTTATTATGGGCAAGCAGGAAGTTATGTGCCACAGTGGAATTAACTTTCCTTAGCATTAAGAGAATTCCCTGATGAATACTCAGCAGTATGGTTCTATAAAAATTTGTTATTTATATGTTATTATGTCAGAGAGGGAAAGATGATCTCCTAGGCCTTGGAAAATTAAACCATTTGTGATTTTATTTAAGATCAACTGTGTTATTAATAGTGTCAATTAAATTGAAATTAAAAAGTCAGCTTTCTCCCTTTACAAACTAAAACACTCCTTGTAAGTATTTATAGATATTTGGCATGGCTTAGTCAAGTTCATAATTTAATTTAAAAAAATTAACTGAATAGCTTTCTCTCTTTCATGTAAGATACAACTAAGTTTAGCCAGGGGTGTACTCCCTCGTTTTAGTAAGTTTAAATTTAGTGGTGGCAAAGAATCCTCTGAGTTTCACCCCTAGCAAGCCCAACCCCGATTGTCCAGAACAGTCACTACTCAGCACATATGTAGAATTTGTCACAATGTGCTTTCTCTCAGAGGTAGGTAGGGAAATGCTCTTGACAGATTTGATCATTAACAACCCTCAGTACTTGCCCTGACATTACACCATTTGCTGAGACCTAGTGCTCAACTTTTGCAGGGCCTCCTGACTTCAGTCTAGACTAATCTAGCCATGCCAGTCAATGGAATTGTGAATTCATGGACGTAAAATAAAAATTCTCTTATGTCCCTTTCACTTCTGTTTTTTTTTCCTACTTCATGTGTTCTTCCAGCCTTTCAAACCCAATCTCACTTTTTTCCTTGCTGGGACCTAAAATACCAATAGCTAGAAATCATATCTAGGTCCAAAATTCAACTGAATTTTGTCTTTCCTTTGAAATACAGCAAGTATGTGGTTATAATTTTAGATAATTTTGAATATAATTTTAGAAGTTGAAACTGGTTTAAGCTTATATTTAATGATCAGTTTTGCATTGTTTCTAAGAAAAGTACTGATAATCAAGCTAATACAATAAATTACAGGGAAGAGATATTAGTAAAGCCTTTTTCTTTGAAGTCTCCCTGGTTCAGGAAAAATTTAGAAGTGCATACAGAAGTTTAAGTAACCTAATTAATTAGGTGGTTTTATTTTAAAAGAGGAGGGATTTCTATCCATTTTCAGAGAAAAATAAGAAGCATATCAATTTAATAATCATAGCACACAATGAGTGCTCTTGGATTTATATTTATAATAAACAGAGGATGAAGAAAGACATACATACACAAGAGCAGTTAGAAAGATAGCTAGACACAGTTGAGGGAGCCACAGAGAGGGAAAAACCCACCGAAGAGTTTTTCTTATTTGCAAAGATTAGAAGTATAAAACATGGCCCACTGCTTACAATCTTATTAGAGTCATAATACTGACACATTAAAAAATAAAAAACTCATCATGCTTTAAGTAATTTTTAAAAACTACTAAATTTGCAGTGGAAAGCTCAGTGTTTTAAAAGTTAATAGAACAATCCTTGAATTTTTTTTTTCTATTCCCTGAATACTTGAAACACTAATATACTTAATTTTAAAATATGTATCAGAGGGGCGCCTGTGTGGCTCTTTCAGTTAAGCATCTGCCTTCAGCTCAGGTCATGATTCCAGGATCCTGGGATGGAGCCCGGCACTGGCCGCCTTCTCCCTTTCCTGCTCCCCATCCCGCTGCTTCTGTGCTCTCTCATGCTTTCTCTCTCTCTCAAAAAAAAATCTTTTAAAAAATAAAAATTTTTTTAAAAGTAAATATATATCAGATGACAGGGTGCTTATTTGATAAGATATATCAAGTATGAAAGATTTAAGAAAGTAATAAGAATAGAAATATTGAATGAGTTCAAGATACTTAATTCTTCCTATAAAGCCCAGGGGGAAATAATTTTTAATCAATTGTACTTTTGCGGAAAGTAGTGTTCCCTGGGCACATAGTTCGAAACTGTTGTTGTGGGTAGGGAAAGAGTTAGAGAGATAATAAGTTAAATGTAGTTTTCCTTTAGCCATTCCAGAAGAATACTTACGTTAGTATATGATTTTAGGGTAGGTAAGACTGTACTAGGCACTACACTCCACTCTTTATTGCACTCCAGTATTTAATAAACATTACTTTTTTTAAACATTACTTTTTCAATCTGAAATACAAACTTAAAACTGCCCTTCCTTCCTAATTCTCCATTTAGTGTCAATAATAACAACAGTAATAGTAACCATCACCACCATGTGTTGACAGCTTACTATATGTTAGCATTGCATGTTATTTCTTACATGCATTTTCTTATATCGTTTGATTTAGCTTAGCTTTTGGAGTTATTTGCAAGCACATTCACAATGGCTTTGAAAAAGAAAACTAGAATATCAGTCAGTAATAAATTATTGAAGTTACCGAACCATCGGACTGTCCTGGATTTTTATTGCATTGCATGCCGTGCCTTGCTGTCAGCCCGAACATATATTTATCTGCACCACTCTTTCAAGGAGTCACTTGTTAGGAAAGGGACTGAACAGTTCACTTTCTTTTTTTAAGATTATTTATATATTTATTTGACAGACCACAAACAGGTAGAATGGGAGGGAGAGGGAGAAGCAAGGCTCTCCGCCGAGCAGAGAGCCCGATGTGGGGCTCAATTCCAGGACCCTGGGGTCATGACCTGAGCTTACAGCAGACGCTTTACCAAAGGAGTCACCCAGATGCCCTTGAACAATTCACTTATTTAACTCATTTACTCTTTCCTAACAGTGGGAAAGCAGCTACTTCTGAAATAAAAAAGTCCATATTACTTCACAGTTGCCCTGCCTGCTTTTGGAGGCATAAACATTAATCCCATGTGACTCATGCAAGTTGTTATGACAGTTTACCTCTTTTGAAATACAAATAAAAGCTGTCTGTTCAAATACTTTGATAAAATCAACAGGTTGTTTGATTTAACCCATTTAACTCTCCCGCCCATGACATCGAGCTAGTTTCCCTACTATTCATTACACCTGTGTTCAATGTACTCCCCTCAAAAACATCTTCCCTTTTCTGCAGCGATTCTCATTAGGAGAGGTGGGAGGGAGTTCACACTAGAATATATATAAATTTAAGATATTCCACTGGAAGAGAATGTGTCTCCCCCACACCTTTTCCATTAAAGAATGCTAATATTCAGGGAATTAACACAGCATTATAGTAAACAGCATGATCAAGGAAAGAGATACGAGGTTAGATTAGGTAGAGTTAATGAAGACTGAATTTGAAGTATAAAGGTCCCATACCACTGTTTTTGTTTTTGTTTTCTTTCAGGATTTTATTTAAATTCAAGTTGTTTAACATATAATGTAGTACTAGTCTCAAGGGTAGATGTTTTTAATTGAACAAGGGCTTATGACCTGTAACGTTACACAATTTATAACCAACTTAAATTGTGCTAGAGTATGATTGCATTCTGATTATCTGGTGATTGGATGTTCTGTTTTTACCTTTAGAATTCAGAAATAGACTCTCTTCATTATTAATAACAATAACTTTAATGTATTATTTACTTCAGGAAAAAATGCCAATATTCATGCATGCTCTCTTGTGTTTTGCTTATAATTATTCATGATAGAAAATAAAACACATACTTGAATTCCAGATACCAATGGATCAGATAACTCTATCCCAATGGCTTATCTTACACTGGATCACCAACTACAGGTAAAAAGAGTACTTTCTCAGTGAATGTTTACTTTTTCCTTAGAAGTTTAGACATAGTCTATCTAGAAAGTGGGCAGTTTTATTTATATCTGGCATCATATATTCATTTATTTATGCTTTTAGATGGCCTCCTTAAACTTTCTAAAATCAAGTTAAAATGATTTGTCCAGTTAAGTTTAAGTTAATCAGATCTAAAATTGGTAGTCATGGTTAACAGTTGTCTTTAAATATTTCCATATATTTGTTTAAGAATACCAAGAATGTGGGGGGGTCATCTGGATTCCTCAGTTAAGTACCCAACTCCTTTTTTTTTTTTTCTCTCTTTTTTTAAAGATTTTATTTATTTATTTGACAGAGAGAGACATAGTGAGAGAGGGAACACAAGCAGGGGAAGTGGGAGAGGGAGAAGCAGGCTTCCCACCAAGCAGAGAGCCCGATGTGGGGCTTGATGCCAGGGCTCTGGGATCATTACCTGAGCTGAAGGCAGTTGCTTAATGACTGAGCCACCCAGGCGCTGCAAGCATCCAACTCTTGATTTTGGCTCAGGTCCTGTTCTCAGGGTTCTGAAGTGGAGCCCCATGTCAGGCTCTCCACTGGGTGTGGAGCCTGCTTGAGATTCTCTCACTTTCTCAAAAAAAAAAGGAATGCTAAGAATATCAAAAATAGCATTTTTGCTCTTTAATTTTAGTGCTGCAGTATAAAAATTTACAGAAGCTCATTTCTACTTAATAGATTTCATGGTACACTGTCATATTCATAGTGACTGAGAATTTAAGTAATACACTTAACTGTCTCCTCATGAGTATGAGAGCTAGAAGCTTCTTTTGATATAATACAGTTTGACAACCTGAAATGTAAAACCAGAGGCCAGTGATACTCTGGTCATGATTCTCTGTAACAACAAAAGTGTTAAAACAGCGAGTGTGAATTTATATTCTGAGTTAACTCTGTCAAAAGGACACTGACATTTTCTACACAATGGTTTAACACTTATTTTTAAAAGACAACTGCTTTAGTGCTATAAAAACATATCACAGTTACTGTCTTAACTCTCAGCTTGATACTGAAATTTGACTGAATTATGTTTTAAGAGTCCTGATTTATTTTTAGCCTCTAGCACCGTGCCCAAACTCCAAAGAATCTATGGCAGTGTTTGAACAGCATTGTAAAATGGCACAAGAATATATGAAAGTTCAAACGGAAATTGCATTGTTATTACAGAGAAAGTAAGTTATCTTTTATGAATAAAACACAGTAGTATTTTGGGTTTAAAATATGTTAAGGTGAAATATTGTTGGAAAACTTGAAAACTTTGTAATTTTTAGAACTAATCGTTAAGCATAGAGTTGACCCTTGAACAGCTTGAGGGTTGGGGTGCTGATTCCCTACTCATCGAAAAATCCACATGTAAATTTTGACTCCTCAAAAATGCTATTGGCCTACTGTTGACTAGAATCCTTACCAATAACATAAACAGTCAATTAACACATATTTTATATATGTATTTTGTACTTTATTCCTAGAATAAAGTAAGCCAGAGAAAAAGTTTTCTTAAGGAAATCATAAGGAAAAGCAAACACATTTACAGTACTGTACAAAAATCCATGTGGAAGTGGATCCATGTAGTTCAGACCCATGTTTTCCAGGGTCAACTATATTTCCAACTTGAAGGTTTTACATGTGCTCATCTTTAAGTTTAAAGCAACTTTTGGCTATTTTTTTTAATGCAAAATTCATCCCTTTTGACTACATATACTATATTAAAATTAAGGAAAATAAACTGGTGTTATATAAACATTTCTTATGCCCTAAGAATTTTAAAGCTAAAAGCTGCTTAGATTTATAGTTATAAAGATTTATTATTTCTTTAGACATGAATAAAATAATTTGATTTACTAATACTCAGCTGTGCGTGGTGAGTACTATGAAATGTGGAAGCCCAATGATTCACAGACCTGTACCCCTGGGGAAAATAATATGTTATACGTTAACATAAAAAATAATAATAAATAAATAAATATTTTATAGATATATTCTTTCTAGGTATATGTTTAAGAGAGTAGAATTACTTTATACATGTGAGTGTTTTTCTGGGGAGTTTTATGCTCACGTGTTTTTCTGAGAGTTATAAAGAGGCTGCCTTCCTCCTTTTTTAAGAAAATCAGTTTTCATGGTCCTTTATTTGAAATTCTAAAAAACAAAGCAAAAACTTCAGTTTTCTTAAGCATGATCCTCATGAAATTTTATACCTCTGTAGCTTAATTATTGTGGAAACTGAAATGAAGTGCTGTAGTACAAAATCAAAGCAACTATATGTATACATGGTAATAGGATTCCCTCTGTTAATTTTAACCTAAATAAATGAAAATTTCTTGCTTCCTGAAGTAATATGTGGAAAGTTTTGTTCGTACTTCCAAAAAAAAAACCAAGAAAAACAAGCTCCTACTGTTAAAATTATTTCAGCTCAATACCTTAAAGGATATACAGTAAATAAATATTAGAATCTGCTAATTGTAGAATTGTTGACACTTCATGTTTTAAAAAAAAAAAACCCTCTTTCTTTCACATATTTAATCTATACTTTGTTCATTTGAAGGAGGGATTAGTTGTGTGCTAGAAAAAATAAATGATGGATTAAGGGAGTGTGAAAATTATGACAGTTTTAATCAATATTAAATACTTTAAATGAGAAATATTATAAGAAAATCATCTAAAGGCTTTTCATTAATTATTCAGTTATATCCAGGAACTTCACTTTAGGAGTTAATATTGAATATCTCCCAAAGTTTTATCAGGCTATAAAAGTGTCTAATGGTCTTTCCTGAAAATGTTCGTAAAAGTGAGTTAACTCATTTGAAAGTGGTACTTTGTATTGTTCTCACTTTTAAAATAGGAAATAGATTCTAAGTTGGTAGCATCTATTTTAATTAGCTTGCACATGTTATATGAGCCCCCACTTTGTACTGTAGTTAAATAAGACTGTAACTTCAAAGCATGAATAAAAGTTCATGAGTGTAAAAGTGGAATGTGAATGATAAAACATGTTATTTTCCTGTGGTCAGGAAACTAGTATTTAAAAGTTGTTTTATACCATTTTATCTGCATTCACTACTTGTCTAAGTACAGTTACTTACAAAAGGATTATGGTGTTTCTATGGGTACACAGACTAGTGGGTGATAGTTTTTATTCTAGTCCACAAGTGTATTTGATAAGTATACCTAAGATGCATAATGATCAACCCAGAATAAAAGTCCTAAAAAGTCGAGCTCATCAGTTATTAGTATGAATTTTTCTATCACATACAATATTTTATTGTGTGGTATTTGTTTTCAGGCAAGAACTAGTTGCAGAACTGGACCAGGATGAAAAGGACCAGCAAAATACATCTCGTCTGGTACAGGAACATAAAAAGCTTTTAGATGAAAACAAAAGCCTTTCTACTTACTACCAGCAATGCAAAAAACAACTAGAGGTCATCAGAAGTCAGCAGCAAAAACGACAAGGCACTTCATGATTCTCTGGGACCTTTAAATTTTAAAATATGCAAAGAAAGACTTTTTTTTTTTTTTTTTTTTTAAGGAAAAGAAAAGCCCTTATAATGACAATTCATGAGTATTAGCTTTGGGGCGTGTTCTGAATGCCAACTGCCTGTATTTGCTGCATTTTGTTTCGTTTCATCGTTAATTTTCTTTTTCTTATGGTGGACATGCAATTCAACTGTCTCCTTGTATAACATGGGGCATCTGTGACTTGAATAAGCAGCAGTTCTCAACTTCAAAACAGAGGCAGTGAACCATGGCTGTATATGCATGCTCATTGTGTGAAGGCTAGCCTAACAAAAACAGGGGGTATCAAACTAGCTGCTATGTGCAAACATCGTCTTTTTTTCGAGGTGGAACCTCAAGAATGATTTTGTTCTTGTATCTCATCTCAAAAAACAATTTTTTTTTTCCAAAAGATGGTATATACCAAGTTAAAGACAGGGTATTATAAATCTAGAATAATCAGTGGTACATTATAGAAATGCAGAACATTTAAGGATAGTTGCAAGTGAGGGCTCTGATGCCAGCATCCTTCAATCAGTACTGAACTTAGTTCCATCCATAAAATATTTAAAGGTAAGTGGTGGTTGCTGTATTTAACGAAAACATTTCATTGGACTAAAATATGACTATGATACATTGAACAAAATGGAACCTCTTTTTTAAGATAAAAAGATTTTAATTTTGTGATTGAGTGTATGTGTGTTGAAACTGTAAAGATTTTATCACTCTAATAGTAATACCTCTTAAATGAAATTAAAAGGTAAATGAACACGATCCAGCTTAAATGATCATTCCTTCCTGCAATGATTATTGGATTGTTTTAGTTTATATTTGAAAAACTAAAGAGAAATAATTGAAAATGGAAATAATTGCTCCAGCTAAAAGGCTTGGGCTTAGATTTCTTTTATGATACCAAAAGAGTAAAAAACCTGGCAAATCAGGAAAGTTAGTAAGGAAATTAAAGAAATAAATACAGATTCATGAAGTATACTATTTATGAGCATTGGAGTAATTGATTTTCCTTGCAAGCCCATCCTAGAATGCCTGCTGCCTTTCAACACTTTTAAGGGAATTTCAACACTTATAAAGAGAAAATTTATATTGTTAACAATAACTTTGCTACCAACTTTGAAAATAAAGGTAATAAATTCATTGAAATAATAGACTATATAAGCTCTATTTTTTCAGTTGGTATTAAAATAAATCACATTTTGATACCAGTACAAGGTGTCTTTTAAACAAGGATGTCATCAACCTCATTTTTATAGCATTAATGTTTTATGAAGAGAAAATTAAAAATGAAAGCATAATTGCTGTGATTATTAGAATTACATCATGATTGTATTGTAGTTTTGCTCTGTTTCAGATAAGCAAGTTGATCTAAGAAGTTATCAAAACTATTCTTAAAAATGCTAAAGCAGGTAACTTTTTCTTCTGTTATTTTTTTCTCCTCCTTCTGAGTTTTATAATGTATTCCTGTGTATACAAGCAATAAAGGTAAAAGACAGTTTGTACTAAACTGTGTCATTTTTAGCTTCCTCAAAATCTGTTACCAGAAAGTTTCCAGTAAATAAATGTCTACCATTACTTTATTTAAATAAAAGAAAGGGCTGTCATTCCCAAACAATTTGATTACCTAACTAAAAGTATACTGTCTAAACACATAGTAAAATAAAATTGACATAGAAAAGAACTGTAGGGTAAGGAAAAGTATAACCCATTCATAGCATTGCTGCTTGTGATATGTGTGTGTCACTCCACCAAAAGGGATCTAGTCAGTGCTCAGAGACTTTTCTGGTTATCTCAGAGCATGAGATATTCAAGTGTGGATGCTAATGATTGACCTTTCCATTAGGATTTAGCATTATAGATTTCAGATTTTATTTCTAGTCATTAATGTGTTTTTGCTATATATTACATACTTAAAGGGAAAATTTATTATTATTACATGTAATCACTTTATAAAAATCTCAAATAGGAAAATGGAAGAAAACAGTAGTGTTAAATCATGGTGCCAAATGCCAAAAAAAAAAAAAAAAAGGCTATTGAACCCTTGCTTGTTTGTTTACAGTAAGTTCCTTGTTTGTTTACAGTAAGTTCCTTCATTCTCACACTGTAATTCTCCTAGACGCTGAGTGTACTTCAGCCTACTTGGTTTTAAAGTAGTTGTGTTGCAAAGTTCATACCTTTTAAGTCCTGATTATCCTTGATGGGAGAAAAGGGCAGCAGGGACAATCAAAAGCTACAGCCGGTTTTATCCAGCATCCTCACCATCAAACCTTCAAACAGATTTTAACAAGGAGCCGAATGTTTTACTTATAAAAAAATTTTACTTTTTATTCTAACTCTCATTTTTGGGTAGAAATAGTGAACAGACAAGCAAGTGGCTTAAAGGCCCTCATGTAAGAAATTCACAAACAATCCCTAATTACATTTCATTTTTTCCCTCAAGGGAAAGAAAACAAAGTCTAGGGAGAGACACTCCTCAGCATTAAAAATAACTGAGTCGAATGAAAATCATTTAACATTATTAACTTTAGAGCAGCACCGCATATTGAAGAGATTTGCTTGAAAGTGGTTTACAATTGTTTGACTTTTTGCTGAACCATTTTAGAGTACTTAATGTGGTTTTTTTCTCCCAAGTTTCTTCTGTGTTCCTAGTTTCAGCTCCTGCTTGTAGCCAGAGATCACAGGCTTTGCCTGTGATGCTCTTTTCTTTCTGTAAGTGTGTGGCTTTCAGCAGTGAACTTCTCTCTTCAAATGGTAGGAAGTTCTACTTCTGTCATTCAGAACATTTTATGTGAAACAGTGTAATGCAGAAGTCCTTGTGTATACTGTATACTTGAAGGAAGCTTTTTAGATTTATTTTTGTTTGTAATAAAATTCAGATTGTTATTCTAAACTTGTTTATAAAAATGGTTAATGATTTATATCAGCAAATGAGCTATAGGAGTGTTTTACCTTACATGAAATTAAATAAAAACTGAAAAGTGAGTACTCTTAAAATACTCAACACAATTGTAACATAATCATGATTTTTGAGAGGGTAAGTCACTGGCCAGTTAACATACCCATCTGTAACAATTCACATTTTTTTGTTAAATGGGTACTCTTCACAATTTCATTAAATCATGATTTATATAAAGTACAGTATGGCATATACATCACTGAGTGATTCTTCTCATTAGAAAACTGATTTCCTCTAGGTTATCTACCTTACATTAAGTATTCCATCCCATTATCAACTTCCTAGTCTCCCAGCCATCACATAATGCACACATAAACTTTTACAAACTTGACCTTCATTTTAGTAAATCAGCTCCTTCATCATTCACTCATTCCTTTAACAAATATTGAGCACCTGTTATAAGTGAAGCTCCTGTGGCTAATGCCCAGTTACATGTTCTCTTTAGTCACATGGTAGTTAGATCATATTCTCATTTCCCAGATGGAAAATTAGGCTGCTAAAGGTTAAGACTTTTGCCTGAGTCTCCTTTTCCCCCCTCATCTGTTTTAGGCAGAATCTCATGGAAGGGGACGCTGTGGCCACCATCCCATGATGCGAAGAAGAGCATGAGAAATGCAAACGGGGGGAAGATAAGAGGTCACTTGTAGGCACAGAGGCTTTGTGACCACTCTATAGATCACAACAAAGCCAACACTGAGACCCACACATGTCTTTTAAAACCAAGAGTGTGCTCCAAACCATTCTGCCATACTGTAATTTAAAACTTGCTGAATGCTTCAGCTTTCACATTCATTTATTCAATGAGTGGGGAGCCTTCACTCTTCCACTCCCCTCAGCTGAATGACATGCTAAAAATGGAAATAGAAATGATATTGTGAGGCTTGGTCTAGAAAGAAGACTTGTTCTCCACTCTCAGGAAAGGCTTCAGGCTTTTTCATTTTTGGTTTGTTTTTGTATCTCTGTTTTTACTTTTTTGTTCTTTTTTTTTTAATTGGGATATAATTTTTATATAAGAAACTGCATCCATATAATGATGTGTAATGCAGTTTACTGAGTTTTAACATGCTCATACACTCAGGAAACCATCCAACAAACAAAATACATAATGAACATTTCCATCCCCCCTCCCCAAGGTCTTCCATTCCCCTTTACAGTCCTTCCCTCCTTTTACTTCAGGCCTCAGGCACAGTGCTTTCTAACAAATAAAAATTTGTTTGCATTTTCTACAATTGTAAACAATAAAATCACTCAATATGTACTCTTTACTTTTTAAGCTTTTTTCCCCCCTCTTGAATAGTTGTTTTAATGCCTTTCACAGGAAATTTTAATTAAACCATTCTTAGCGATACTTGAGAACTTTTCACTATCAGTCTTCAAGAGAAAACGCAGGTTTGAAGAGACTTTCGATGCATCCATTGTAGCCAGCTTGATTGTGTTGTGTTATCTTCTGAAACATTTCAGATCACTTTATTTTTACATTTTCAGAACCCTAATACTTTGCTTACAAAATCCCTTGGGTTGTTTGTTAAAGTCAGCCTGTTTCTTTCTGCATTTAGGTGTTAGAAATGCAACATAGATGTGGACAGTAGCAGCCTATTAGTAGGTTCATGATAGTTTTCAGCAAATACGGTTGATCAGTGTAACTTCTTAAAAGTTACTCCTTCCATTTTCATTTAGATTGTGGCTGCTGTTTTGCTACTCAGAAACCTGGGAAACTCTATTTTAAATAACAGAACAGTCTTCTGTATATAGTATTTGACATGGGTATCTTCTACCGATGCTGTTGGTGGTCCTGTCTGCTTTAGTGGTGCCCATAGAAATAAGTAAGATTACACTGGTAGCTCATGTATTGCTTACTGCCAGGGCCTGTGTTCCTTTTCCATCAGTAATTAGTAACTGCTCTCAGTTTCTCATCCCTACTGCCATGAGGTCCCACCAAAACAGTTTGTGAAATGAACTGCCCTTCATGTCAGTTTTTTCAGTGAAGTCTTTTTGAGAATCAAATGCTTATTTAACTTTATCTGAGTCTTGTGGTGCTTTTTTAAAGGTTTTATTATTTGAGAGAGAAAGTGCATGAGACGGGGGAAGGCGAGGAGGGGCAGAGGGAGAAAGAGAAGCAGACTCCACACTGAGCAGGGAACCCACTGTAGGCTCAGTCCCAGCACCCTGGGATCCTGACCTAAGCCCAAGGCAGACGCTTTTAACAATCTGAGCCACCCAGGCACCTCCATAGTGCTTTTATATTTCCAAGTAACGAAATGTGTTTTTTTATCCTGTAATTTAGTGGTCAGTGATCTCTTGTAGATGCCATATGGCATCAGGATAATTGCTTTGAATACACCAGAAATCACTGAACAAATGCTGGATATTTATCTTCTGAAAAACAAAAGTAATATATAAAATGCAGTTCCTTCTCAGACTTGTTTTTTGTTTCTTCTGGTGGACACCTCTTCTTTAGTTATTATAGGAGAAGCTACATTAAATATTGATAAATTTACTAAATTCAAATTAGAGATGGAAGAAACCTGAAAACGGGTATAACTTTTTATGGTTGAAGAGAAAATGGTAGTATCATTTCACATGCCTTGTTGACTTTTAATCTGTTTCCTACAAAGATACTACCTAGTATCCGTCTAAAATGTGAGCATATTACTTGGCAAAAATCGATACCACTGTTGTTTCTTTTGTGTCTTCCATGAGAACCTTTTAACAGATATTATTTCTTTGAGGATTGGAAACATGTCTTTATTCTCTAAGCTACATATGAAATTGATAATTTATATGCTTACAAGCAATATTTCAGTACATTTGGGCTAGTATATACTAGCACATTGCTGGACAACAGTCTTACTTAAAAATTCATACTAAAACTCATGTCCGACTACATAATTCTGTCTCCCCATTCATGATTCCACATTTTACGTACAGGACAGTTGAAGTGGTATAAGTTCCCTTGGCCTAAGCTGAGTATTTCTTCCATTTTTACTGTCTTTTGCAGTCATATCAGAAAATTCTCCAGTCCCTGTGCTCCATGTACTGTGATTCATAAGGACGTAAGTTTGGGTGCTGCCCAAAATAATAGCTTAAACAAGATAGCAGTTTTTTCTTTCTCACAGCAAAAGTCTAAAATAATATAGTTTTGCTCATCTGCCTCCTAGCCAAAGAGGAGGCAGAAAGGGCAAGAGCAGTGAAGGTACAGTTACTTAGGCTCCCATCTGTTAGCCAGAACGTTGTCACATGAATTTACGCTACTTGCAGGGAGGCTGAAGAAGTCTGTATAAATGGACAGCCGTATGCCTAACTAGAAGGTAGGAATTCAGTTACAAATGAAGGATCGAAAAGATTTAGAGGACAGGTAGTCTCCACCACTCAACCACTGGAGTCCTTGCATGAGTCCCACAGGGGTAGGACCTTCCCTTCCACTACTGGCCCCAACCTGGATCCTTGCAGGTAGGGGTTGACCCAAAGGGAGGGGATTCCAAAGGTTCTCCTGTGGATTTTGGTGAGGAGGAAGCTCAGTCTCAACAAGAGGAGGAAAAAAAAAAAAAAATC